GTGTCGACCACACCACTCAGCTTGGTGTCATCTGCAAACTTGCTGAGGGTGCACTCGATCCCACTGTCTATGTCATTGATGAAGATATTAAACAGTACTGGTCCCAATACGGACCCCTGCACCCTTGATAATTTTCCCTGGGATCAGTATAGTAGTGAAATAGTCCTCAGTGACTTGAGTTAATATTAGTTTATTTAACAGAAGTTAAATATATTTTGGTTTCTGCTGAATAGATCATCTTTCCTTTTTTTTTTTCCTTAATGAACAAAGCTCTTTGGTTAATTGACTCTTAACATTAAAGACTAATGCAGTGTGTCTGGTCACCTTTAAATGAAATGTCTATTACCCCTAGGACCAATAACTCTTTATTTTTAAAAAAATTCAGTTAAATGAGGATGATATTACAGCATTTAGTATGATACAAACAGATAACTATTTGCATGATGTTAACAAACATTGCGTCTGCAACTGTAGGGTTACTGCCTTGTCATCCTTACTGAGGGTTGTTCACTGCCAATATTTTTTCCTTCCTTTCCCCAACCGCCCCCTGCCCTCGACTTCTGGCTTGATGTCCTACACAAGTGATTAGTGTGCTGTAATTGAATTGGCTGTAAAAAGATAATTAATTGATATTTCACTCCCAGAGAGGTCAAGCTGCCCTGTCTTGAATGGTTGTTATGAAAGTAGTCATCCTGCTGGCACTTATCCCTCGAAGGTGGCACGTGATCTTTGTCTTGCTGATAGTAATAGTTGTTGTAATTAAAATTAACATGAAGGGGGTGTTTAAGGAGTCATTCTCTGATTTGGATGCTTTAGCTTCACTTTGAAAGCATGTGAAACTGGAATTTATAAACCTTATTAGGTAGTTGTCTGGGTAGTATGTTTTTAATGCCCAGCACAATACTATCTCATTTGCTGTCTAAACCTTCTTTGTGCCATATTACCAGTAATGTGGGACAACAGAAATATGACTACAGATGTGTAAGGTTTCTGAGACAACTAATGTGAAATCTTGTCAGGCACCCTGAAACCATTGATCTTAAAACACCTTGCTTTGAACAGCTTCTTATTTTGAGATTAGTTCAGCTAAAGATTGGCATGAAGAATTTTTTTCATAAATGGATTATCTAAATGTAGGACTTCCACTGATGTTTAAGAGGCTCCTAAATAAACAAGGGAGCAAAATTCTGCAAGTGACTCTCTTGGAAAAGGTGGGAAGACTTTATAAATAAAGGTGGGCATTGGGTTCACTGTCTCCTATGAAAGGCGTATTCAATTATTTGCTTTGTATACTTACAACTGTATTAGAGAAGGATTAGGTGACGCAGTAAGTCTTCTGTAGGCCTAACAGCCTATGACACTCTTTTTAAAGACTATTCACAACTGTAGACTTAATGACAATTAAATAATTCTGCCATTCCTAGTAAGCCAGGTATGTAGCGTTACTTCCCTGTGCATCAGTGTAGGGCGACTTGCTCGAGGTCATACAATGAACCAGGGTCTGAATTCAAGAGTTCTTTGTTTCTAGTGCTTCCTCAGATCACATGACTGTAGCGACTGTAGTCTTTGCTTGTTACTGTAAGTATCTTGACATTCACTGTGCGAATAAATACATTATGGGCAAACCTCTTGAAGGCTTGTGTCAAACAGGAAAACGTTTGCACTAGAAATGTTCATCTCTTCTTTCTTCCCTAAAGGGTCACTGATGTTCCTTCTCTGCACTGTTAAAGAAGAAATGTTGAGTGGGGTCCCTTATTTTTTTTGAACTTGATTTCCCATCCCTGATGACAGTTATACTAGCCTCATGACTCTAGTGCACTGCTAAAAGTATCTTCTCAGTGTTAGACATTTCCTTCAAACCCGTGTGGCACAAGAGCTATCAATTAATAATAATAATAATAAAGGTTAAACTTAGTGACACAGGAACCTTTCTGAAACTGTTAGTGCATTAAGAACCTGGAGTTATTCTGTAAGCAGTGTGGTTCTCATTCATTGCCCAGAGAATAAATACTGCTACTACAGCAAAAGCTAATGGAGAGAAAGATGTTATTTAATGTCCTTGCAGAGGCAAAGACTTAACTTTTATCTTTCCATATAATGATAAAGTTACGGCACTGTGGAGATAACTGCAGCATTCGCAACTAGAAATTTCTTACTTTAAGGTATTCTAGCTAGGATAAAGTATTACAGTTAGAATATTATCTTTCTTTCACACTTCACCCCACAGAATTTGACACAAACACTGCTATTTTTAGGTTTTGTCCTGAATTATTCAACAACAGCTTTCCAACATAAAATATTCCTGCCAGGATGGGAAATTACCTACCAGAGCATTCTCCTGTCTTCTGGTTCTCCTGTCTTCTGGTTTGTATTATGAAATGCTTCTTCAAGTTTCCGCTCATTTAAGAACGTGACCAAAACAGCCTTTCTGCAGGGAACAGAAGTTATTTAATTGTGAAATTTGAGTTCCTTCGGGGTGGGCTGGTATAACATTATCATGAGTAATTGCAGTATTATGTAATTGTTCGCTATGTTGGTTGTGACAACAACCATACAAGATGGCATCAGTTCTGTTACACCTGAATGAAAAGAGGAAAAAAACCTTATTTTGTGTAATGCTGTTAACATAATTTCTCAGGCTTTGCAGTACTTCTTACAGTGGGATCCTGAAGAATATTTCGGAAAAAGAAGAAAAGTAAAAGCTATTAAACTTCTGTCTATGCCAACCTTAATGTAAAATACTGTATTTGCATGGATACAGTACACTAAAATGAAGAAAACAATGGTGTAGGCATTTAAAAATTCCACAAAATAGTCCAGAAAATAACTTGATCTACTAACTGAAGGCTTGAAACTGTATTGGGAAAATTCTAGGGAAAAGCCTAGGTACTATTGTTTGAACTGAGAAAGTGAGATGTGCCCATTCTTAAAGTTCAGGTGTAGATAAGATAACTATTTACTTCACTCCCAGTAAGATTTCAGTTCTAAAAAGGAAGAGCAGGTAAGAATTTCAGATCAGACAATTTGATACAACTTCTGGTTTCAAATTCTTTTGACTGTTGTGCATTCTGGCTTTTATCTTTTTCATGGTTTGGCTTGAGCTACTCTAGGGGATGCTGATAGTTTAGTGACCAGGATCCAATTTTGTTTGCAGAAATAAATCATAGGAAATCACAAAAGAATCTTAATAGATGTAAATCAAAATCCACCATATTCAAGTGCTGATGATTTTGCATTTGTTCTTAACTTATGAATGCAAAGGAAAACACTAGCACATCATAAATCACACCATTTTTGGCACTTTCCTTAAGCACTACAGAAATACTTTTTTTCTTTTTTCTGTAGAAAGGAGGCAAAAAGCCAAGTGGCAGGATATCTGCTGAGAAAGCTGAGAAGATGACAGTCTCACAGGAGAAAATGGAAGACAGCAGGTATGTGTGAATCAGTATTCCTACTGCTCAGCTGGAGAATGCTGTCTGCTGAAAGCAGTTTTTATCTCTTTGCAATACACCACTTCTAAATGGTGTTACTCTCTTGGATAATGGCCCTGCCTTTTTTTTAGCTGACCACTGTAATATAATACTGCCTTTCACATTTTATGCCAATATATCTTTTACTTCCTTATAACCCAGGCTTGTGCTTGTAAAAACAATGTTTCTCAGTCCTTCATTTTGGAGAGTGTTTGGTGTTGGGTTTTTTGGGTGTTTGGGGTTTTTTTTTAACCACTTTTCTTGTTTTATTAGAGCGCTTTTCCCCTCCTTCAAACGAAGTAGGTGTGGGAGGTTTCACTACACCTTTAAAATTGCCATCAGATCTACTACCTGGGCTTTCAGCTAAGTTTTGCAGTCTGTTCTGATTTCTGTGTTGCTGTGATTACACTGAGTAATTATATCTAACCTTGCTGGTTTGTTTAAATGAACCTCCATAATTGCATTACGTATGATGTAGATAGACAGTTAAAAAGAAAAGAATTACATAGAAAAGAAAAACTTCTCCTCTGCTTACTAGGTTACTCAAGTTTTGCAAGGGTGATTTGAACAACCGTGGCAACATAAAAATTATAGTTTATTTAAGCGCAGAAAATCCCTGCTCGAGGGAAAAAAAAACACAAAAGACACTAGTTTGAGTTTACTGAAAGTCTAGAATGGAATTAGGCGAAGAAAGTAGTATATTATGACCCTTTGTGGTGTTAATGTATCAGAAGTAAATGCCAGCTGTAGATTTTTCAGTGCATGATTGGCATGCTTTCTGTGCTTTTACTGTTTGAAAACAACGACACTGGCATTGCATTTTTCTGCTTGATAGGAAAGAATTATCTTGCACTGTTTCATAATTACAGGCTCAGGAAGGTATAGGTATTTTATTTTGCATACACTCTATAGTTTCGTATTATGTTCCATGTTGAGATTCATAGACTCAATATTTAATTAAAATGGAAATACCAAAATTCTCTTTGAACGTGTATCTTCAGTTGTGGATGGACAAATGGCAAACTGCTTCATGCAGGAACCAGGAAGAATTATCATTATCATAAAAAGGAATTAGGATGTAATCCAAAATCCTACCTGAAGTTGCATCCTTATCGGTTAAAAAGAGAAAAGTTATTTCTAACTTCCATCAGTGCAATTGCAGATTGCCTAGATATTGTTCTACTTTTACCTATCGGAATTCAAATTAGCTGTTGAAACATTTGTGATTTGTTTCATAAAAACTTTTGTGACATTTTTCAGGTAGCTTCCTATTTCAACCCCCCAATAGTACTGACTTTGTACACTGACTATAGGAAAGTTTTGGGTGGTTTTTTTGGTTGTGGGTTGTTTTTTTTTTTTTTAAATCGGGACATTCTGTGTAAACTAATGATTTTTAATGCTGCAAATAGAAGTTACAAATCCATTTCCAACTCTGCAACTCAAACTTAACTGCAGTCTGTAAAATCTTAACTGGAGTAAGCTTTCCTTGCCCAATGTCAAGGTATAGGTGAACTTTTAAATCCTCTTACCCTGTTATAGGGAAGAATAAAGCATCTGCAGAAGCCCAACTTGGGAAAAGTGTTAGGTCTCCTTTATCATACTAGAACACTTAAAAGTAATGATGGTTCATTTAGCTGTTATCTGCTTTAGATATTTGTCACAAACTTTCAAATCCCATTCCTTTAATTCCAATTGGAAAAAGAGAAGATGCTCGTTTTGTAATTTTGCTGATGCAAAGGTGTGGCAGGCAGGCAACTAAAGTAAAGGTAAGAGGCTTTTTAAAAAGTCAAGGTAGCTTTGAATAGCCTGGAAAGCAAGAGAACTTGTAAATGTTGGGATACTGGTTTACAGAAACCCTAGCTTTCAACAAAGAGAATATGACATCTACTGCTTTCTTACATTGAGGTGATCTATCCTGATACAACTGATTTCTGGAGTCACACCAAAGCTAAATTTGGTTCAGCCTGTGTAAGTTGCTTTGTATGTGTGTTAAAAAGAAGAGAACAGTAGAAACGTTTTGAGAAAATAATGCTGTTCAAAAAAAGAAAAAGTAATAGGTTTCTTTCATGGTACTGTTTAGATGTGAATTAAAAATATTTTTTTAGCTTTTCGATAACTTTATGACTTTTCAGTTGTTTTCTGAGGGAATGCATATGCAAGTAGACCTCCTAGTCCTACTTTTTATGTTCAGTATTCTCATATTTTTGCTAGGTGACTATCTGGAAGAATAAACTGTCATTTCAAGTACAGTAAATAAACCTTCCTTTTTATAAGTACCATATGAGAACATAGTAAATAAAAACTCGGGTTTCTCATAACCATTTAATCGATATGCAACTCTGAAAGCAATACTGAATCTTTTCCATGATCCAGCCACAGATGTGCTTGCATTAAGGCTGTGGTATGAGATGACAGTAAATGAAATTGCAGCTACAGCAGCAAGTATTAGGGGGAAATGAAAATTCCTGACTCAGAGGAGCAGGGCAATGACAGAAAGACTCCTCATTATAGATCTTTTCATATGGAGAAGAATGACTGGTAAATGAGGTTTCTGTGACACAAAGAGGATGGAAATACAGTTGGACGTTCATGCAGAAATTGTGCTCACTGTACAAAACAAATAGAAGAATAGGGGATATCTAATTTGCATTTCTTAAGTGACAAAATGAGTATGGAGATATCCTCTGAGACGGATGACAGTTGCAACAGTTAAGAGAAAGGTATTGTTTAACTTTCCCGTTATTTGGGTTGTGATGAAAGTGACTTTTACTACAGCCTGCTTATTGGTAACTTTTCCATGTTTGCTTTAATTTATTTACTGTACAACAGGTTACAGGCTTTTTAAAATACTGACTTGAGCAAATCTGCCATGGTGACTAATTCTCCACATTTTTCACTAGTTCAGCTAATAGCAAAGCATAAAATAATTATAATGGGACTTGCTGGCAGGAGCAGGCATAGTGATTCCAGTGTCTATTCAGGTTGGTCCCATTGATTTGCAATTGCTTCTCTGTAGCAGACAAGGTATTTTTTCATCTTTAACCAATATGAGAAGTCACGTTTATGTCGAAATAGACAGGACAGTGTGCACTGCCTAATAATAGAAATCCCTAACTATTTCAAGTACTTTCAAAAATGCTTCATTTACCACGTCCAGCAACTGTCTCCCTCATTTTTGCAGTGTGACCAGGGAATTTAGTGTAGACTGTTGCATTTTTTTGTTTTGTTGTGGTTTTCCTTAAATGGCTTTGCTTGGCTGCATTCCAGCCCCTTAGTCTGAACCTATTTTGCTTTATCCTATTATGTGGCCTAGAGAGTTGCAAATTCCCAGATTTCTGGATGTAGAATAGCTGGAGGTGCCTTCACATAGGACGCCATCTCTCTTCTGTGGTCTGTCTTTGGGCATAAGATACCTTAATATTTTTTTAAAAATACTTGAACTAAAAAAGAGGGAGAAGGCTGTCTTTCCATCAAGCTTAGTTGGACTTTTATACTGTGATGTGAAGGGTATGTACTTGTGTGCTGAGAAGGGGATTTACCTTTTCAGGTACTTGAGAGGTACTTGAAATGCTTGACTTTGTCTTAAATGTTTTATACAATCAAAGATCAGGAATAACCTATATAATCAATGTATGTAGAAGAAAGACAGTGCTGAAGTTTCAGACAGGTCACTTAATGTACTTGCAGCTGTCTCGCACATCGATCTTCACCACTGTCTAGTAATTCCTTCAAACCTACAGTAAGTCATACATTGAATCATTAATTAGCTTCACCTAGAAGTCAGTCTCTGCCTACAGTGGCAGCCACTCCATTATTATCTGGTGTATTTCAAACAATAGAAATGATTGAAACAGGAACTCCTACATTTCTATGAAGATTAAGAGTGGCACACCACCCTGTAATTTAGGTAGTTGTGCAAGTTTTCATTTGCATTAGCAGAATAGTGCAGATTGTGTTGAATTATTCCATAAAAATATCTTCAGGTTATGAAAGCTTCACTGTGCCATATGTATGTTTATTTTGGAGTGTTCTGGTTTGGTGGTGATAGATTTTGTGGTTGTTTTAAAGGTATGTGTCTTCAAATGAAGATGAAACTAAGATTCATTAATTCTCTAGAAGCCCAGAGAGTGGCACATTTGAGTGGTTGCTGGTTTTAAGCCTTGAGAGCCATCTTAAAACTCTGAATTACATTTATAGAATAGCTGAATTTAATTTTAAATCTATCAGTCAATTCAATTTCCTTTATTAGTAAAATGAACTTCTTTCATATGTGACACTGACATTGCAAGCAGAGATTTGTTGTCACATATTTTTGTTTTCTTCAGTTATGTGGTAAGTAGGGTCAAGTTTGTGTCATAATTAATTCAAACTAACTGAAATTTGTATTTACGTGAAATCTGGATGAAGCTGGCTGATGTAGTTTTACATGTATTTTTCTGTGACTTGAATGACTTTGAATGGTTTAGATGGGATAGTACTTAATCATGCCAAAAGTGTAATTGGACGTTACATAGTCATGACTTAAGATTCTTTTCATCTTTTTTTTGTCCCTTTAGCTTCTCCGTCCATATTCTGAGCGCTATTTTTAATCAATTGGGTATGCTTTAAAGCAACACATTGTATGTTCACAGGAGGATGTCCATTTTCAGTGTCACTGCAGAGATCTTTTTTTATCAGGATTGTTGGTCAGAATACTTCTGTTTAGGAAAAAGAGGCAACAGTAATTGCAGAAACTTATTCAGTACTAAAAGTTGATTCAGTTATTTTAGAAGAACTGGAACTTACTTGGCACCTAATTCTGCAACTGTAACTCACATCAGTGCTGCACATTTGAATTCAGGATTTTGAAGGAAAGTAATGTTTACAGAATTGGACGTTTGTTTATAATAGTGACAGGGCTATGCCAACTTCTTTTTTTCCCTGTTAAGACATATTTAATTTTAGTTTTATAAAAAACTTTGTTTTATACATGAGATAGTGTATTGTCATCTGGGATATGCAAGATTGTTGCAGCTAGTGATATGACAGACTTACTGTGGCTGCAAATAAGATTTTCTAGAAACTTCAGGACAGCAGTCAGCAAACAAAATATTTTCTGTGTTACAATTTATACTTTGCACTTTAACATTTTATATGCGTTTCATCAAAAAGTGTAGGTCCTACATATGAATTACATGCAAGTGGAAAGTTGGTTTATCTAATCTCAAGATGCACTTTTTTATTCCATTACTCATTTTAATACGTTGTTTTAAATAGATTAGTCTCAGCTGTTGAGGTAGAAGCAGCTTGTTATTTTTCCATAGCAAAGGTATGCATGCATCTGGGTAGTCAGGTGGCTGGCAAATAAAACTTATT